CGGGTAACAGCAGAACAAGCGTCCCGAAAGGATGATGTACAATTTGGTCCGCACCAACTTATGATCCTTGCAACCCAACCCCACGCAATACACGTATCATGCGCACTTCACTCATGTCACGCTGGCGTACGATGACGTAGTCGAGCAGATGAGCGTGACAACTCTGTGGATGCGTCCAAGTAGCTATATCACTCGCACGCACTGCAAACTGTGTGTTCGTGATCGTCAAGCTGTGAGTGGCGCGCAGTGAGAGCAGCCGGTCACTGTTCCTATCGGTTGAGTAATTACTATAGGGACCGATTCGGTCTGTTCACAGTATGGGATCACACCCAACGCACACGTTAAGATCACCGAGTACGAACAGTCGGTCGCTTCTCGGCACAGACGATATCACTGAGTATGACTGAGTGTAGAACTGATCCCACATGTGAGCAGGATAACATGTTGGAAACATACGTGCTTAAAAAGATAGCAAACTTACCTCTCCAAAGTCGTAGGCGAAGAGTCATCAATCGTGGGCTGATGTCATTCGACCTTGACAAGAACTGGTCATTTAGCCGGTTGCATAGTGCAAATTTGCCCCCATGTCTACATGGTGCTGTGATGGCCTTTCTCACACAATAGAACGTGTAACTAGCACCATCCTCATGCCATTTGCCTTGTTCAGCGACCTGAGTCTCACTGAGTGCAACAATATCAATGCTGTAACGCGCGCATTCCATCGTGACCGCTGTGCTGCGTCTATCGGGACAGTCACTCGTGCTCCGGTCGAGCAGTGTGCGCAAATCCTAGCATCCGCTTTTGAACATTTTGCACAAAGGCATTCGATTGCACCGGGCAATCCCATTTGTGATGGTCTGGATTGGAAGAAGTGGTGGGTTGGTTGAAATGGGGTCAGGAAGAGGTGAATTTTGTGGGAAGAAGCAGAAAGGAAGGCCTCATCATTGGCATGTTTTCACTTATTCACCCCGCTGTATTTAGCGTATAAGGCGACGCTTTTCGCTCTTCACCAGTGCGCGACGGCCGATGCAGCAAGACATTATCAGTGCTAGTGTGATTCATGGTGTGCTGCCATTGCGTAAACACCCGGAAAACAGCCCGACTCGGGTCCTCGGCCAAAGGATTCGATAAAATGATTTTCAGATAAGCAGCAGGACTTGTGCACTGAGTGTGTGAACCGATTTACGCAAGTCTGCGTGTGTCCTGGCCCTTAGATAAATAGTGTTTGTAAACCAACTCCCACCGGTGGTGGTTACGAGGACGGGTCCAGGATATGAATTCACGGCACAACATTGGGAGCAGCGAGGCAACAATCTGTCAGGTTCTCGCCACAATAAGCTTTATCCAGAGATGTATTCTCCCTCCACCACAACTTTTCCGATTGATTGCATCCATAGTGCAGTTGAATTGCTCCCTAAGGCTCTGATTTGCACCTGCAAGTCGACTGAACTTAATCATTAGCACAATTAAATTGCATACGGTATCATTTCTGGGCACCAAGCGCGCGAAGTGACCTTGGCATTCAGCTAGCCAAAAGAAGCCAATAGCGGTAGACTTAATACCCCTTGCATGAATGTATAAGTTGGTAGTGTGGCTTATTGACAAAACAGAGATCTAGTCAAGCTGTAACAATAACTGGAAACGCCAGGGTCAAATTATAAACAGAATTATATGCATGAAACCATTCCACGAGGTCGATGGGCATTTTGTGAAGGGCACTACCACCACATGAACCTACCCATCGGCTCAACAAGAGCCCCTGCAGCAGCCAGCCTAATGAAATATACCGAGGACATCATCCTGGGTATACATCATCGATGAGGTTGCAAAATCATCTGGATGACCTCAGTAGTTGGTCCAAATCGCGTCATCTGTCTCTTAATGCATTTGAATGTCATAATACATTTTCTTCACGACACATAGGAGCGAGGTACAAGCAGCTCCCTACACAAGGCCCCAAGCAGCTTTGTGACAGTGATGGACTGAACGCTGCTACATCTGTGAGATACATACGTATGGTACTTGAAGTTATACAATGTGACCGGCTGACAAACCTCGCGTCTGACCCAGGGGCTACGTAAGCAAGCTGATTCGACTGACGTGTAACGTTGCATGCCTCGGCATGGGTTTGCACCTTCACAGTGCAAAGTGCTGTGACAACATCAGTCCCATCAGCCACCTGTGCTGGCTGTCCTTATAAAGGGGGAACTTCAGAGGCAATCTGAAAGGTAGTAAACGGATAAAAGTTAAGTATGATTTACCAGCAGTGTCAAACGGTCCATTCGACACGGGTACGTTTGGATGACTCACTCCCCGCAGGTAAAAGGACATGGGGCATGAAATTGACTCGCATAGAGTCGAAATCTTTAGAAAGGGTTTGCGATGCGTACCCCTTAGGCTGACTGCTGAGGCATCGGAAATTGCCGAAGGCAACAGCTGCGTAGCCAGCGAAGAGAGTGGAGTTATCTAGTGCGTGGCGGCCTGTGTTATCCTGTCAGTCTGAGGGGCGTTGGCAAACGGGTCTGGAAAGAGCGCGAACACCAATCCACTCCTACTCTCATGGTAGGCAGACACGTAAGGGTGAAGACCTCGTACAATAAACTACCTGCGATCTCTAATTCGGCACTGAAAATGACACTTTGACCTGTAAGGTGACTAACATCCTGTTGGCATCTCGATAACCGCCAATATTGTCCATTCTCGTGATGAAAGCATTACCAATCACTCTCTGGTTCACTTGGCTTGACGAAACTTTTGTGTTGAACGCAAAACCTTGCCCTCTAACTACACAATGGACTAGTTTGTTGAGTTTGGTTTCCTTTTCAAGAAATATGTGCCTTCCTTCATTTTCCCAAGTTTAGGGGCTTTCAGACAAAGCCTCTTTGTGGGAGATGATGGTATTGAGAAACTTAGTCAAAGCTGCCCACGATCTACGATGAGCCATTTCGTCTGAATGAATTTCTCCGGATATCCATTGGATAGCAGAGTCCGGTATAAAGGGTGGCAGAACACTTCTCATTGTGGCTGAGACAGTTGCTGTCTAACCAAGGCGGAGTGGACCAAGTAATGAACCGGAACCCACCTCACCTATCACCAAGCACTTAATGAAGACTCGTCACCAGGTGAACCCCAACGATTCGTTCGTGCTATTGGCAACCGGAACCAGACGTTGTTGTCAATTGGCGAGGCACTAGTAATAAGGATGAATTTTCCCGCGCTCTGTGTCCAGAAACAACTGAGGTAATCAATTAGACTAAATTTAGATTCCAGAGTGAAGGAACACTTACCAAACTGGGTTCAGCGCGAAGTTACTCAATCCACCTCCGATGATACGTGCTCGCGTAAGCCGCCAGCGTCCTCCATAGGCAGGCACATCTTGACGACTCGTCACCGGGTTAATCCCTTATCAGCGTTCCGAATCTTGTTACGTCACACTAATGCACGCCTTTTACGATTTGCCGAAGCCGTCGCGATAAGCCGAATTAGATCAGCTTTGTGTGCCCAAAAGCAATGAGTTGTCAACCTGCGGTTGCCGTAGTCCTAATCCCAAATACAATGACCACAACCGTAAATTTGATTGGCTTGACTGTGCCCTGTAAGACATATGCCATTTTCACTTTAAACTGGACATTTTTCAAACCAAACTGGACATTTTGCAAATAAAAGTGGACATTTTCCAAACCAAAGTGGACCTTTTGCAAACCAAACTGGACATTTTGCAAACCAAACTGGACATTTTGCAAACCAAACTGGACATTTTGCAAAACAAATTGGACACGTTGCAATCCAAGTAGCAACTGGCCAATTTGTTGGTAAGAACCGAGCAGTAAGCCTGCTGAATGATGTTCGGAATATACATTGTGATGACGCTAATACACCGGCATTGTGTAAGCAGCGGGCTACACTGTAAAACATTTGCTTGATCGTGAGCAGCGACCGAAGTTCTGAACTACGCTCCCCTCTCCCCATTGACATTCGCCTAGTTGGTGTGCAGTGCCCATACGCATCAACCTGTGTAGGTGTGTGACAGTTGGAAAATCGGACTTCCGAATCGTAATTGTGTATCAATCATTTTGTGAGTGGATTGCGATGCGCAATCCAAGTGAAAATGGTATATAACAGGACATCCCTGTTATTGTATTGGTACTGATGAGCTAATACGAAATGCTAGCATCTGCCAATATTCGTCTTCTCATTTCGTTGTTCAAACTATTGAAGGGAACTAACTGTGTTAACTTTCTCAATTAGATTGCCTTGGACCTGATTACATCATTCACATCAATTTTATCTGTTTATCTATCTTACCAAGTGGGAAGCGTATCTAATACGTATCTTCTTCTGCCTGTGTTGCCTAACTACTGACGAGAGCAATGGAAGTGTTTACATTTCGCAACCCATGTCTGCTTACTGCGTTAAGTAAGTGGTTTTTGGGGACTCAGTGATTCAAACTTCACGTGTTGTCGCAGCTGCATAAAGTGCATAATACCATCCCTTCTTCCAGACTGTACGCAGTGTAGCACGAGCTTAGCACTCGGCAATTACCCGCAAGATTTGTCTATTAGCTCCCTCCATCAATCGTTTTTCTATAACTGTACTTCGAGTTTCACATGCCAAAGAAAAACACATCCGCTTATTTTGTCATTTTCAGCTTTTGTAATCGAATCACTTCAGGTTTGAACACAATACACAGCGTAGTTATCGGCGACATGCGTCGCTTCACTGGTCTTCCGTGTTTCGCATATCCACACCAAAAAATCCGCACAGTCCATTAGTTTGCGGTTGTGCTCCTATGGTTACGAATAATAGCTTTTATGGAGGGTTTTAATGCACAGAGCAGCAGTAATCAGTGCTCAGACATCTTTGGGGGTCCAGAAACATCCTCATTGGGCTGGTCGAAAGACCAATGAAGTTAAAATGCCAAGGCAATTAGTTTGCATTATTGAGACGGATATCGTAGGAGCTGAAGTAGATATTCTAAAATATTTCCGCGAAATCGTATAATGTATGGACTGCTAATAGTGGGTGTTCAACACTTTGTTGAGCAACACTTTGGTCATGAACTGTGGCCTATTATCGTGGAATGTGCTGGCTTACGAATCACAGAGTTTAAAACTCAGCAAGTGTATTCAGATTCGGTGATCAGACAACTTATTGAAGCACTTGTGGCTGAAACTGGTTTTTCGGCGAGAGATCTTCGGTATCTGAATGGACTGTACTTCGCCTCATTTACGATTCATCATGGGTTTGAAAAGCTGTTAAGGATACAAGGACGAACATTTATTCATTTTCTCCGCAACCTGGATGACTTACACGAGCATATGCGGTTCTCCTATCCGAGGATAAGACCGCCGTCTTTTTCTGTTCTCTACGAATCACCATCACTCATTCGTTTCTTATACTCGTCCAAACGTACAGGCTATGAACACTATGTGCGTGGTCAGTTGGTAAATTTAGCCAAGAGATTCTTCGACATTAACATTTCCGTTATTATTGTGAACAAGAGGAGGGTTGGTCCGGTGAGACATATCACTTATGAGATCACCCACGACGGAAAGAGTTGGGAGACGGCTGACGAAGTGCAACAGAGTCAGCAATTGAACCATTGGGGACCGATGATGAGCGGATCGGAATTTTTCAAACTGTCCTCTTTCTATTTGGTCATCAGTCGAGAAATGAAACTGGTGCGAGTGAGCCAAACGTTCGAGAGACTGGACTGCACTCTAAATGGGGCCGCCTTCACGGACAAATTTACTCTGGTACGCCCCTACATTGAGGCAACATTTGAGGAGGTGCGTTCCAGTGTATACATGTCCTCTCGAATATATATTCCTTAGCTGATTTCATCAGCTAGTTAGCGGTTCATATGGACTGGAGTTGAGATACCATTCTGCTCCCAACCTACCTACTTCAACTGTCCTTTTGGGTTTCAATTGCTTGCAAGTGTGGTGACCGACCACAAGTATTTTCCTTAGCTAGACATGTTTGAGCTCCAAACGGGTCCATGTTTCCCCGCCATATGACACTTAGTCCGGTATATTGTAAGTGGTGGTTCCACGTATTTCGAGTTATATGGTGTCTCAACAATAGTTAAACAAATTCGGGCATTAGCAAGTAATTACATAATCTTCATAATTCGTGGCTGCGCCTATAAATCACGTTTATCATATGATATAATCATCTTCAGGTTGGATGGATAGCAAATCAAGGGCGGAACAGTGGGAACCGTCATTTTCGGTCAGGGGACATTTACGCGGAGTAATTACATTGAAAGTATATAGAACGAAAACAATCACTCTATCAATGCTATCAGATTTATTGGAGATATTCTCGCCACTTATTGGACTAATGGATATCATGGCTAAGTGGATGTCGGTTCTTGATATGCCTCGCTTACTGGGACACCTGGTCCACATGGCAGTTGAGGAGGGGATGTGGTGAGCTTCAAAGAATGCTCACAAAACACAGGAAACAAGCAATCTTAGCAAGCCTAACTCAAGGGGGTGATGTTAGCAGAATAGTCCAGATAAAGTGATTAGATAGAAACTGTCACGCGTCAACCTGATTGACAATCCAGGGACAAGATAATGTACTTTAAAAGCTGGTGACCCATATAAATCTACAATTCGTTTCAGCTTTGCAGCGCTCTGTGTTAAGTTCAGCACACAAATTTGATCCTAAACCAATAAGATGTATGGGCTCCTTCTCGAAGGATTCAAACAATATGTCTCAGGAGCGTTTGGTGAGGATATGTGGTGGTTGGCCTATCAACATGTTACTGGACAACTGAGTCTTATTCAGACCAGAAGTATTTATCCAGAGGTCTTCTTACCCGATGTAGTAAGTTACATCTCTGCTATGATGGATGTCCCCGAGAGCGAGCTGTACTATCAGTACGGGTTCTCGTTTATGCAATTCGTCTCCGAATCCGGTTTTGGAAGTCTGTTGCGCGTTCTCGGAAAGGGATTCATGGACTTTCTACAATCACTTGATGATCTACACCATCATCTTCGCTTCAGTTATCCTAGAATAAAAGCTCCTGCTTTTGCGATTATTTCGAGAACGGATAAGACGATTACACTACTATACCAAAGCAGCAGAAAGTATTTGGGTCATTTCGTCCGCGGCCAATTGGTCGCAGTCGCCTCCGTTTTATACCATGTGGATGTAGAAGTGAGGCTAACAAGTCAGATGAAAACAGCCAACAGTGCTACATTCACATATGAAATAAGAAACACAAGTGGAACTTGGCCTAAGGGATTTGAGCAGAAAGATTTGCCCGGTGACTTTACCAATGGAATCCATCTCTCACGAGTTATCCATGGTGGCCCGTTCTTCTCACTATTTCCGTTTCACTTGCTTTTCAATGAGTCGATGGAAATCATCAGCGCCGGAGATGGCTTCCGACGTATTCTGCCTAACATAGTTCAAAAGAAGTTGACAGACCTCTTTTTAATCTCGAGACCACCGGTCTCTCCCATTGCGGCTGAGGTAACTGACACCTGCTTTGCAAGGTACCCATGCAGTTTTTGCAGTGACATTATTACTTAAAATTAACTTGCACATTGTACACGTTAGACGTTTAGTTTCTAACTGAGCACTAGCAAATTGTTCTAGCCTACGCTTACCAACCTGGAATGCACTAGTAACCTATCACCATAGAATGGCCATGTTTCTTTTAAATATGTTAGAGTAGGGAACACTATGATACATTTATAGTAAATTCATCGCGACAACTTTCAAGCAATATAGCCTTAGCAGCAGCTCGGAAAAGCACCAGAAGCAAGTTCTGTCTGTGTGGGTTGAAATGAGGGTGCCTACTAACGCCAGAACACGAATTAAATGGTCTGGATGACCTAGGAGACGTACATAAATTTTCCTAGTTTTCGAATAGGTTCTTTCGCACTGCAGGCTATTTCGTAAAATGTGAGGCATTTATTTATTGCGGAGATTCTGAGTACCCGACTCAATGCTAAATATCTATCAGGATCCCGAGTTGCTTTTAAGCGAATCTTGGTCATTTCTGACACTGGAACCGTTTCCGAAGTACAGAGATTTAGTAGGTGTGCGCTGTAGGCACCAAATTTGAAAATGTGGGCCTTGAGAGCTAGCGTTGTAGCCATCTAAGATGATAAGATCTTTGTATCTTGGCCGCATTTACCTTGAATAATGAACAATGTTTTATAACGGGTAAAAAGCAGGTGCTTACCATGTCCCGTAGGGTGGTTAGAGTGAGAAAAGATAGATCAAGGGATAATGGAATCGTCGGTTCGGGCGATTACAGATTTAACTGCATTGTCGTATAGAGGAAGTTTGAAACTAGCATCTGCGCACACAAAGCAATAAGGGGAGTGGTTATTGATCACGTAATAATCGAGAAAAAAAGAAAAAATAGCAAGGACAACGCTTACTCGTGTGCAGCTATCTCGCGTCGACGGGATACAGAAATCCAGTTTCTACAGTAGTAGTGTTAATCAAATTGTGTGTAAGGGGTTTGGAGCGACTCATTCTCGAGTAGGGTTATGGCACCGTCCACTGTCTGTTGTGCATTAGTGCCAGCATCTGGTGGTCATGGGCTATAGCACGTAGTGTAGATGTGACAGCGTATCGTCAAGGTTCATTTTGTAAAGGGATAGGGTGGAAGCATTAATTACTTGTTCCGAGAGGGCGTCCCAAGTCTGCGACATACGAAGGGAGAAAAAATCCCGCCGACATTCCAGTGGGCTGTATTGTGCGAGCAGCTTAAACTGATGACCTCTTAACTGGGTGTTTTGACTGAGTACCAGAAGGGAATGGCATGGGTGGTTGGGGTTTCTCAGGATCTGGTACACCATTATAAGATCGCCCCTTAAACGCCAATAACGTCCACTGTATAGTTTGAGAGTCTTCGGCAGAGATACCCTCTGCACTGGGTAGTGATAAACGAGCGCCACGTAATATGTGTTGTCGTGTCATACTTTCAAGCTGAACCAGAGTGATTCGGTATGACGTTTCCGGGACATATAATCACTTACCCTGAAAGTCACAGTGTTAAGACAGATGAATTCCACCTCCACTGTTGCAGCGATCCTTTTGGACTTTGGATGTGCCCTGTACCGTGAACCACGTGAACCACCTGCTAGTTATGGAAACAGCCTCCGTTACGTCCAATCGTGGATGCAGCCGTCGTTCTCTAGACTTGTTTAGGGTGCTATCGGCGTCAGTGTGCATAGACTAAAGTAGTTGTAATCTCTGTAACTACTCAGCAGACTCGTTTTTTTGACGTTGCGGTGAGCCTACCGGTCAAAGGTCGGCCACTATTCGTATCTTGGTTCCATATGGGTTGCCGTTTTGTGTGAGAAACCGCAACTTCCTAGGCAACCTCCCTTTGTTTGTAACGCATGAATTGCGACCACTGACACCGGTGACTGGCTCTTTGATTAACAGATTCGCTGTAAACACGTTGTCTAAATGTATTCCTAGCTTTGAGTAGGGCGTCTGCTTTTAGTGTGCCACGGAGCCCATATCGGATTTCGAGTATCCTTCTGATATCTGTCTGGAATGAAGCACAGCTTGAAATATACTAAAGTTCCACGCCTTGCAACTTGGTATACAATGCAGCATTGAATTCACTTGTGACAAAACTATACCCAAGGGGAAGATCTGGCGAATATACAGCCAGTGGTGCTGGCCGTAGGTTTTTGTTCCATATTCCACATATTCTGAAAGGCCCATCTTCCAGTTCCAATCGGTAGCTTTCCAAGCAATGCCTGGCTTGTTTACTGCAGCATTACAGAATATCTAGAAGCAAGTGCACTATACTAGGTACATTCCGGAAGCCAGCTTCTCATATCAGGATGGTTCCAGCTCCATTGATGGAGTACAGCACATGATAGACAGGTCATGGCACTTAATAGCGCTTTGAGTTCGAGTGACGGCTTACATTTTTTAGATGGGCGGGCATAAGCAGGGCGTCTAACGGACTACCGATGAATTTCCGCTGACTTACGTCCCCCACTCACCATCCTTTCAGGTGGTTTGGCTCTCATTCAAGAACACAGGCGCATACTACCGTCAGCGCATTGTGTGGCTTATTAATATCTTCAGCACAGAGGGCATTGCGGTCGAATGACTAGGTGGACTGATACCTACAGCCAATAGTCCCCTTTTGATTTTGGTTCCCGTAGAATAAACTTTAGAGGCAATTTGCAAGTACATGTTTAAGTGACAGCCTTTCAACTAGCATTTGTGCCACCGTTTCCCCGATTTCTGGGCAAGTTTTATATTAGATGAAGTCTTACAAGTCGCTGTACAGACTTAGTTAGAGATAGTCCGTTTAAGAGAATCGGGGTACCCGGTGGTACTGACACAGCGCTCATTGTTAGTGGTAAAGGAACATCTTAACTCGAATCAAAGTGATCTAAGGTATGATTAAAAGATGAAGAGAAAAGATTACTTCTGAGGACTATTTTCTTTTAATTTTGAAGCGGTCATGATTCTATCGATTACAACTGACCACAAGCAAACAGATTGACGGAAAAATTACACAACTAACAAAAATACTTTTTGTTTGGTACATCCTTTCAGTACAGGTTAATATATGACTAACTTTGCTTATTGTGAGGTAATAAGGCAAATTAGTCTCCACAATGCTGTGATTTTGCTGTGTTACCAAGTCGTGACACTGACTGTGACTTCGCGGACACCAGCTCCATGTGCTGATACTTACCCACACTGCTGCATACACCTATCTGGCAGCGCTTTTCAGAGCTATGACCCAGTTGCTTATGATCAAAGCGGACAAAGATGTCCATTAATCACCTGAGCATATTTCAATTCAACCTAACACAACAACTAAATTTGAGCTTTTGATACAAAAGTAGCAGACCGTGAATAATGTCCCATGCATCGTCAGTTGGAAACAAGCTAAATGGTAAGGAGAGCAAACATTATAGATCAAGTAATATACAGTTAAGATAAAATAATAATACCCATTTTCCGATTTTAGATCAAACTTCATCGACACAACACATTCGAGCTGATCCTGGTCTCAAATATGGAAGCACTTGGTGAGTACTCGCCTTCCGTTATTAATTGAATCGAATAGTAGATGCCACTGGACCCCGTTGGTTCGTGAGCACAGCTTATGTGTAAGAACGTAAACGAACAGTGTGCCTTCTGTTTCGCTTGTCTTTCGCACTGATGTTTGATTACCCAGAAGTCTTGCGCATGTATAAGCATTTCTCCCTATTGGCACATTTGACAGATGAATCGCACGGACTACCTTTGGTTGTGGCACCTGCTTTACCTGGTTCACAGCAGCTAAGTATTTGGTCATTGTATCCTGACTGAAAATAAGTACTAACTAGACCACGTGTATTGTTATAGGGTTCCGTCTACTGGCGCACACAGATTCTTGACCTTAAGCCCAACTGAAATAATGCGGTGTACCGAGTATCTTCTATTCCATCCACTTTTTTGTATCGATCGCCTTCGCAAAGCCTGATGCCACTCAAAGCAGGGTAAGTGGCCGAAACGGACTTTCTGATAATCAGTGTTACCAAAACGTTCAGAATCGTCCTGCCTAATTACGCACGAGGCACCCGTCTTTTTGAATCCTTGTGCATGACAAATAGTTGTTGCGGTAACTTACATGATCTGTTTTATTGGTTCACTTAGTGGTGAAGCCACATACCTATTTTGCATGGTTGGCGGAATGCGACTCCGGAGTTCCTTGTCACTGTAGCCTACATAACAATACGTATGTATCCCGATTGTGCGAGATTTCCCTTGATTTTACACAGATAATGCGTACAGTAATGATCTTGCTCATGCATGAGTGAGATATCGTTTTTGGAGTGTGTGATAGCAAAATATTTTGGAATCACAAAACTTTTATCGTTGCTGAGTTTTGTGTATCATCTTATCGCAATGGTTATATATTTCAGAGGAGTAGTAGGGGGAGTTGAATGGTATAGGTAGAAATTCGTCACATCTAGACTCACTCAGACAGCTATCACAGGCCCGAAAAAGCACTGTACGCGCGTTTCATCCTTTCGGGAATCGTCAGCAGTGTACATTCCATCGGACCCTGGTAGTGCCCGAACACACAACTCGACTGTTGCTAGTCCGTGGTTGAGACCACTGAGCTACGTGGGACGGTAAAGACCATCTTAAATAAGCTACTAGATGTTATATATTTCTTGGTCGATCCTGGAAGAATACGTGTGCTGATTTAACCGATGGAAACATGGTCATTATCGAGTCTTGGTCCAGGAAATTTCTAAGCTGGATTCGGAATGTTCTTGCCATTATGCAAGACCTGATTGTGCCTGGTAGACTATTCCACCCGACAGCGTGTCTGAAGACACTAGATCGGAAAGCTGTCCCGGTTGTTGAAACAATTCCTTTACGAGTTTTGTTGCATAATTTCCGTGTCAAGTGTTGTTGCAATTTTAGTGTGCGGAGATTGGAGTATGTCTTTTGGTTTATGAGATTGTGTACCAGCATCAGGTTGTTTTAGTTGTCGCAACCAAAGCGGCTCGAGTTCAACCTACTGGTAGCGATCCTGATAACTCAAAGTGGATGATTTACTAGATACGCGTTTGGTGGATGATCTTTGCAAGATTTCTAAAGCTTTCCTGTCACCCATACGCGTGAGCCGATAAATGGTGCTGCAGAATTCAAAGAAAGTAAGTCTAAGCATTCTGCTAGTCTCGATTCTGACAGGGGTTTTATGGATTTTACGCCCCATGTTAACCAATAGATCTTTTGGCACGTGTTATTTGATACTCAGCCTGCTCTGAGAAATTAATGTTTAAAGAATATCATATGCATATATCACAGTTGGATAGTTTCACACAGATAAGTTCATTGTTCAATTTAACTGACTTTTCAAGGATCAAACATCCGTATAACAAAGTACATGATTTAGCAGCTGAGAACTTCAACATCCATGTGTCGCACCATTTCTCAAGTGAACCGAGGTTTTGAACGAGCATCATTGCGCTATGGAGTTCAATAGTTCAATAGTTCAGTAGTGTAGGGTGGGATAATATGCATAACTTTACAAGACCTCCAGGATTAAAAATGCACAAGCAACTTAGAAACAAATATGATGCAAAGCGGAATATGAATCCATAAGTAGTAAAGACGTTGTAGTTTATCATACTGTTGTGTAGCGTTTAGCCCTAAGAGGAAAGTCTTGAAGTCTCTTGAATGGCTCCATGTCTGGTGCGTTCACCGTATGTGTTAATAGTGTATTCCAGTGGGAATAGATTCTAAGAGAGTAAAAAATACTTCCTACAATCCAAATGGAAGTGTTATTTCACTCGATTAAGTGATGGCCTCCACAGTGTTTGTAAGAGGCTAGGGTCAGTTAGTACCCGGTATGTGAGGATGAGATCCATGCGGAACTATCGGTTTTCTGAGGAGAACACATAAAGCAAACAAAGGGCGGCAGTTCGTAACTGAGACCGGGTTAATTCAAGTGTTGTCTTTGTAGCTCTTCACTGTAGTTGCTCCAAGAGACGAATATCTCGTTCAACCTCTCTGAACTCATGACTACTCGATCGGTTCCAAGTATCTTTCAAGAATTTGAATGGCTGTTGTTTGATATCCCTGGTATGGTTGCGCTTGATGTTTATGTTTACAAGGTGCCTACCTGTCTATTACCCACTACATCGTCCATACTGGCTCCAGGAGACAGTTGGTCGTTGCTGGAGGGGACGGGGTGCACGGTTCTTGTGGCCGTGCTAGGCTCAAAGAGCGGTTCCATGCCCTTAGTGTGGAGCGGACTACGGTCCAGCCACCGCCTTGTGTGCGCTTGATTCCCCAAATACAGTGTGCTTGTGTTTGCCTGTGAAAGAATGTGGGCCGGCTCCGTTGATGAAACGTGGTTCCCATCCGCATGCCTCCCGGTCTTATTCCTTCGGGTTTACACTGGATATGGGGTATGTGGTTGGAGCTGTGGGTGGTGCAGCGCAAGCCACCCATGGTCCCTCTGTAGGCGCAGGCGTCCTGTGGCTTGCCACAGTGACAGGCAAATCCGAAACCGGATGCCGCCAACCAACCATATCAGTGTATCGCATGTATATATATATGTATACATATATATATATATATATATATATATATATATATATAGTTGGCGGCCTTCAGTTTCGGATTTGCCTGTCACTATGGCCAGCCACAGGACGCCTGCGCCTACAAAGGGACCACGGGTGGCTTGCGCTGCACCACCTACAATTCCATCCAGGTTAAACCCGAAGGAATAAGACCGGGATGCAAGCGGATGGGAGCCACGTTTCATCAACGGAGCCGGCCCACACTCCTTCACAGCAAACACAATCACGCTGTAGTTGGGAATCAAGCGCACACAAGACGGTGGCTGGACAAAAGTTCGCTAAACACTGAGTGTATGGAACCACTCTTCGAGCCTAGCACGGCCACAAGGACCGTGCACCCCGTTCCCTCCAGCAACGAGCAACGGTATCCTGGATCCAAATGGATGAGGTAGTGGGTAATAGACATTTAGGCACCTTGTCAACAAGCACTTCAAGCGCAGCCACACCTGGGATATCAAACAACAGCCAATCACTTGCGAGATAGAGATACAAAGAAAATAACTCGATTAATGCATAAGGAAACGGTGACATAAACCTTAAGTTAATGAGCATATGAAATAAGTTGTTTACAAACGAATCCTAGATAAGTTCACGAGGTCGGAAAGTATATTTTACGGAAATGCCATAAACACGAAATTGTTATCGAAATTAACTACAATTGGCTTAAGCGACCTGTGCAGGTTGATAGAAGATAGGTAGGCATTTATATGAGAAATAAAAGCATTAGGACAAAATTGAAAACCAACCACCTGAAATAAATAGTCTTAGCATGCAAGCACGCGGTTAGTAAATCGGATGCAGAGTACCTACAAACGCTGCGCCGATTCTGCCTACGTTCTCTACTGGACCTGTCGTCGCTTCTGTAGTGGTACCGAGTGGCCTCTCTCACGTCTCGCTAGACCTGCCTGACTCAGGCACTGGCGACCGCATGTGCTACAGCACCATGCGCTCGATTTCGATGGAGTACAATTTATCGGTGCTTGCCGCTTCCGCACTTGCTGCTTCTTCCTCTCTACATGTATGAGACCTTTCTGCCGCACACATATATATAATGATACCTAAATATGTAAGATATATATATATATATAAATATGTATACGGCGGATAAATGCCGTGGCAGTGGAAGTGGTTAATTGCATGAAGAGGCACAATGTGCATTAAAGCAAGCGGTCGTTCGCTCGAAAAATATAAATGCCTGCGGAAATGGATTGAAAGGGATGTTTTTCACATATTTATTATACACACATATATATATTTAACTATGTATATAAATATACATATATATATATGTAAGTCTCTCCTAATGCCTTTTTTCTCATATAAATGTCTAGTGGGCCATGAGCTGTGCCATTTGAGGCCACTACAGAAGCGACGACGGGTCCTGCAGAGAATTACGGCGAGCCGGCGCAGCGTTTGTAGGCACGCTGAATTCGATTTACTAACCGCATGCTTGCATGCTAAGTCTCTTTATTTTAGGTGGTGGGTTTTCGGTTCCCTCCTGATGCCTTTCTTTCTTTCTCGTATATATGTCTAGTGGATAAATGTCTAGTGGGCAATGCACTGTGCCATTTGGGGCCACTACAGAAGCGACGACGGGTCCTGCAGAGAATTACGACGAGCCGGCGCAGCGTTTGTAGGCACGCTGATTTCGATTTACTAACCGCGTGCTTGCATGCTAAGTCTCTTTATTTCAGATGGTGGGTTTACAGTTTGTGCCTTAATGATTTTCTTTCTCATATAAATATCTCCCTGTACTCTATTCCATTAAGTTGCACACAACCCTTCAGCCAATTGTATTCGATTTCCATAACATTTCTGTGTTCGTGGCATTCCGTGAACTATATTTCCTGACCTCGTGCACTTAGCTAGGATTTGTTTGTAAACAACTTATTACACATGCTATTTACTTAAGGTTTATATCACCGTTTCCTTATGCATTAATC